GGCAAAAAAAAAAAAAAAAAAAGCTAAAGAGTAATGTGATGCCCTAGAGCAGTCAATAAAATACGACACATTTAATAAAGAGAGGTTTTTTTTTGTTTTTTTCTGCTTTGACATTGAGCGGAAAATACTCACGGAAAATTTTGATGTTAACCGTTGACTCTCCCTGCTGATCTCCATTGGTGGCGACGCACTTGTACGTGCCGGCGTTCTCCGTCACTGCTCGGTACAACGTGAGGATGGATGACGTCTCGTCGTTTCGGGTCACCGTGATGTCCGGTCTGTTGGGCTCTATCCTTTCGCCGCTCGGCCCGAACCAGTCTATGTGCTTAGCCCCGCCCATAACTGATGGGTAGCAGCCAAAAAAATAAAATGAGTCTATCTATAATGTATGTGTGTACAAAGTAGTAACGCAAAGTCAATCTGTTCCCCTGGACCGAATAGTGCTGACGATACATTCTATTTTATTCATAGAAGGCTTTTGCTTTATGGGCCCTCGCAACTCACGTTCCACCAGTGCTGGCAGTGTGACTCAGCAACAAAAGGCTGAATGATAATTACATAATCGTACAGACAACAATAACAATTCAACATGGTGGTGGTAATCGCACTCAATACAGTACGTAGCGCTGAATTGTACCTTGTTCTCACCAAGAGCAAACAATACAATATGTAGCCATTATCTTGGATGATCCGTTTCACTCAGTGTCTAAAACAATGGCGTGCACAGAACAATAACAGCCTTTTCATCCTTTGGGTAACGTTTCAATTGCGTACTGTCAAAAAAAATGTGACACTGTCAAGACAACTTGTCAAGCTTACCTTCACACATGAAGAATTTGGACTCCCCGAGACTGATTTCACCATGAGTGGGTGTGATCTGCACGTCCAGTGACACTAAAGGAAGGAGACACAACAACATTCAAAATGAGAGGGATTATCAAACGTTGGCAATCGCCTAAAAACCATAAGCAGACCCTGAGCTATCAAAAAGGGAACACCCTAAATTCAGAAATCATCCATGTTTCCAAAAAGAAAAAAATGCCTCCAAGATCTTCATTAACAATTAATAACGAACATATCTGGCCGGGATGATCAATACAATTGGGCCCAAGTGACAGTTGGTTAACATGACAATAATAACGTCTATCAACTGTGTCTAGTTTGCATGTGAAGAGACTCAACTCTCAGTTAATGAAAATAGGAACAAATTTTGCTGAAGGTGGGACATCAATGATGTTTACCAGTTACTCTGGATGGTGAAGAATATTGTTTTTTTTTTTTTGCGGCTTCTTTTGTCCTTCAATTAAGACTCTTGGAAGCAGAGATGCAATGTGGGTGTACATGGGTAAATGCCTACACTTTATCAATGTCTGGGTAGGAAAAGACTTGATTTATTTTTTGGGGGGAGTTGGTGCGGGTGGTCACAGGATGAGGTCTGGATTGAAGCCTTTCGCTTCCTAATTAGAACAAAGCTTCACTTGTTTCCCAAGAGGAGCGGTTAGAGTTTCCCCGCAGTTGAGAAATGTAACTAAATGGGCCCAAAATCCGGCTCTGTATCGCCGGGGTGTTAGGGCGATAGCGAGGGGAGTTTCAAAGGGCAGGAAGTTGGAGAGAAAAGGCAAACTGACTCAGCCAGTAATGTGGATGGATGCCTACATTTAACTTCATTTTGTCCTCTGGTGTTTTGTAACAACTCCATTAAAACGCAATCCCCTCCTCTCAAAGAAGGACCCTTGCGCAGACGTTGGTTGACTGTCAAAATGCGGCAAATATGGATTAATGACACCACGCTACTATTGTTGATCAAAAACAGGAGTGAGTGTCACACGCCGCATGATATCAAAGTCAAGGTGATTAACGCCAGGAGCCTCTGTGTAGTATGCTTGTCACGTGACACCAACCCGCCAACGCTTTTGTCACATTTGATGTGCAAACTGCCCGACAGGGTTTTACGTCTTGCTTAAATCCTTCTGTTTTCTTTGGATCATCGATCACCCTCCTGAGATGTAAATGTCAGGTCCTATTCAGTGCAAACACTCCATCCCTTGTTCATGTCAGAAGTCATAATCAATTTTGTCCTCCTGTTTACGTACAACAGCACACTTGTTCAGTTCTCTCTCAATGACATGAAACCATGGCCCGAACACCGAGGGGTTCGCTTCGATCCAAAGCAGATGCAAGACTCCTCTCGGCCATATAGTTATGAACCAGACACTAATAGCTCTCTCGTCTCAAACGTTTAAGAGGCTAAAAAGCTGCGGGAGCGTCAGCCTTGTTAAAGGGCAGACTGGTTCAAAGCGGAGAGGGCGGGGTTGCAAGTGACACAAGCAATTGGAAATTGAATCCGAGTGTGAACCCCCCCGAGACCAATCAATTTGAAACCCGAGACTTCACACCAGTGGTTAGTGAGCGTGCCCCGAGGATGAGAGCGGCGTAAATTAAAATGTCAATGTGCTTTTGAACATATTTGACTCTGACAAAATCAAAATAACTCATTGACACATCGCGAACGTAAGTCGAATTCATATCGCATGCAATCTTTTGTGGCAAACCTGGCAAAAAGCCACACTGATACTTGAGCACCATTGGCTTTATTTGCATTCCAAAATAACTGCACAGTTGTGAACTAATACAGTTCGTCCACTTGAAATGTCACGATGACGGTGACCTCAATGAGTCTTAAACATTGTTGGGAGGCAGAAGTTTCACGGGCTCGGCTAAGGTTACTATACACATGCCACGCCCCAGATTTCTTTTCATAAGCATTATAATCACATAGCTCAGAGGTTTTGTGACACTTCTGACTTTTGTCTGGATGATTTCATGTTCGATTCGTTTTAGAAACACAAAATAGTATCGTTTGCGACGAGTAATGAATGCCTTTTATTCCCCTAATACGTCACAAACTTGTTCGGTAAGCGCATCATACATTTGGAGCATGAACAGTTCATGATTCATTCAGTAAGAGTCACCCTGGAACGCATGCCCCAAGAGCTTTTCCGGGTGCTGCGTACCACTTAAGTGGCAAACCGAACCAGAGAATTTTAATTCCTTACAAACAGGAGCAATCTGTCTGAATTTGAGTCATGGATTTTTTTTTTTTTTCTTTTTCCGGGACGGTGGAGACTCGACTTGCTCAGAGACCCGAAATGAACTCAAGTAGATGAATGTGACCTAGTTCTGGCAAAACATGGAATGTCCCTGTAGTTCAAGTTCTCTTTCCATTTGAAAATGCCTCAGTTTGGGGTTTTTAGTCCAACGATTATTACCGAGAAAGGAACATTACAAACTCCAAATTCTCTGTCGCTTCGCCTTATTTTTAGGCTTGTGCGTCACAGTGGGAATAAAATATGAAATGCGGATTGTAGGTGACGTCATATAACTACCAGTTTAAAGTTTGAACACTATTCTTTTGTATCTGATTTCCAAAGTTTTGCAAAGAAAATACATTAGCAAACAGTTGTTTATTGTGTCTGTAGCATTTTAAAACCTTTGATTCAAGGCTTGAGGATTGCAAGTGTCATTTGAAAGGATACTGGGAGTTAAAGGCTTAATTTTGCAACATCAAATTTACGGTTGTAAGATGTTTCAATGATCTGCCGACTCCCTGTTTCCCCACAAAGGCTAAACAAAGACATATTGAGTAGAACCAAACCTTCTGTAGTTCAAATTAGTTGGTGGCTGGTAAACTCAGTCCATCTCTGCCCAGATTTGGTGTCTTTTGTCATTTTTGGTCCCATTGCAATTATGGACAAACTATCAGACGCTCGCAAATAGCAGAGTGCACTTTCGGAGAACTTCTCACGTCGTGCAAGCTAAACTGAAGATGTGTTCACATGCGAGCTGCGGTTACTGTCAGCACTGTTGTTTAGTTGGGATATAACAAAAAAGCGGTTTGAACCGGAAAATAGTTTTTGGATTTAAAAGATGCAAGTGTATTGATTTGAACCGAACGAATCCTTCCACTTTGAAATATATCAAGATGAATACTGATTCGCACATTTATGGTACCGACAAGTCCATTCAAAAGTTGCGACAAACCCTCTCACAATGAGTCGTACCTTATCGAATCGTAATCGCATTGAGTCAAACCAAATGAAATCATTCCACTTTCTAGTCAAACTTCACTCTGAATCGTTTCGTACGTATCGAAAACCGTATTGAATCGTCTTTTGTGGAGAGATGCACACCCCTATCATTTAGGCTCACTTGTCCGGATGGTCAGCAACGCACTTTCTCACCATGATTGAATACTTTGTATTCAGAGCGCTGCGAATTTTGTCTGCAGAATAGGCGTCAGGGTCCTAAATTAGATATTACAAAATACAGGGGCAGCAAGTTCGAGTTGGCCTCAGGTTGTAGTTATTGCTCGAGACCTCAACATAACAGAAAAGGAACTTTTAACTTGCATTTGCAATTCATTTGTGATTTGTGAACATTTTCTGTCGCTGTGGGCAATGTCATATTTGTATGCAGCACAGTTGTGACGACAAAGAGTGAGAGAGAGAGAGAGAGAGAGAGAGAGAGGCAGCTTGCAGTGTCAATAATTTATGCCTCCCCGGGTCATCAACCGCTTTCGCGTTTGTTGTGAAATTTAGAGCTCCACAAAGTAAATATAAATTACTTGCGGACTATCAGCTATTTTCCCATATTGGGGGGAAAAAAACCATCGTCACAAAATGTCTGTAAATATATTCCTTCATATGCAGGTCACATTGGTGTTCAAATTTGCGAGACTTAATCCTTCACCATTTCCTCAGCCGAGCCTATGAGGCACTGTCTGCGTGTGTTATCATCAAGATGACTCGTGCTCGCATGTGATGGGCAGGTGGTCGTTTCATGAATTCAAATGAGCGACGCTAATCATCAATTGGTTCTGAAATGTACATAAAAATATTGCCAAAACCCATCCTCTGTAGCTTGACTTAAAACATTTGAATTCAGGCTCCATAAGGGAGAGCACTGACTTTTCCACGGTTACGCTGCAAGTGACTGATAAGCGCACGGACACAGATACAGTATAGAGAGATGGAAATATATGCAGCGCATGGTCCCTGGCCCCCACCGTCTCGAGATACCTTCGAACAATAACCTTAGGTGCTGCAACCTTTGCCGTCGTGAGATCGGAGCTGTTACTCGCTGCACATCGCAATTACCCTCATTATCTATTTGCCTGACGTCAAACATACATAGAACGTCAAAGACCCCCTCTCGCTCCCTACACACATGACAGCCAGAGTTAAAAAAGTAAGTACCAGTGAGATAAAGTAGTGTGGGGCGCAGGCGCACCTCCCTTAGGTGGGCTTCATGGGAGGCGCAGCAGCTTGAGATAACACGTTTTGGAAGCGACGAAGCTACGACAGTAGATATGAAAAGAAATCAGCGGTAGGGATGGGACAAAATGTATCATGCATTTACTTTACAATACAGTATTAAGACACAATTGTCCTTCTTGGGGTGCTTGATTACAGCCATTCAGAATATGTCGGGCCATTGTAAACTGCATCGCCTGCACCACACCGCACTTTATAATCAATATATTGTAATATTCTCTTTGCAGCAAAAACATATCACAAGATACGCTGAGAAACCCCTTACATCTAGTTTTTTTTTTTCATTTGTTCTTAAAATGAGATCCTTTTTCTTTCGTGTTTCAGTATTCCCTGAGGGTACGGTGTGCTCACTGTCTCACACTTTGAAAACCCACTGATCTAAAGATCAAACCTGTCCTTCAGACTGTTACGCTAGCCATCGCAGCTCAGGATCATGAGGGACATGCGGTTGAATAATTTCATCAATCTTTTAAAGGGCACCAAGTTAATAAATAGGCGGCAATTTCATTTTGTCAAAAATGATCTAACAATGCTCAATTTAGGGCAGGCAGTCTTTTGAAT